CACGACAGGACATATGGCGTTGAGGGAGGTAAATGCAAAAGTGAAGAGCCTTCTAACCCTGTCACACTCCCAAATGTGTGACATAAACGACTTAGTATCGCCAGTGCTGGTGGGGGGGGGGGGCGGGGGGAGCTGCCAGCTCTTCATACTATAAAGTTTATATTTTTTCCATTCCCTACTCCATTCATTAAAAAATGAGTCACTAAGTCCAACCCACAGGCAAGGGGAGGGGAATTAAGTTCCACCTCCAGGAGGGAAGAGTATCCAAAAAATATGCGAATGGCAAAGGTACCATAGTTATTAATACTTTGTACCAATTTTTTTTTTTTCAAATTGAAATCTGTTGATAAGCTGATCTCTAGGTATCCTTCATGGCAACTAACAAAAGCGGAGGCTTAAAAAACAAAACAAAACAAAACAGCTGAGGCTTGAGAAAGATTTATAACCAAACCGCATAAACAAGAAATTTGTAAAATCAACTGCGGAGACAGAAAATATACTTAAAATATCACTTAGTTTTAGCTTGAAAGTGTTTGTCAGTCTAACCTCTGGCCAGAACTTATTTGTTTTTGTTGTCACGTCCAATAGGACTTCCGCTGTGGTTACTAAGGATTTACTGTTGTCCGGCCCTGGCCGTTTGTGTATCTGGCTCCTCAACTCACTGCAATTAGCACGGCTTAGAGGAGGAAGAAAGGAAACAAACATATAAAGCATTAGCCTGTCAAACATTGATGATAAGGGACACTGTGTGCCAAGTCTGGCCTTCCTGCCCATTGGATTCTAAGTAACTTCCTGGAAAGGCTGAAGTCAGAATTCTTCCCCTGCCTTCTCCGCGCACCAGGACAACGCTGCGCAAGGGCAGGGGCTACGGATGACGCCAATTAACCAAAACATGACCTCACTTTCTGCTGAAAACATCCCTGGCTCACAGGAAATGCTGTAAGAGTATAAACGGCATGGACAGTTCCTAGGACATGAGCAACCAGAAGACCTCACCAGAGAAGCCCGTAAACAGTGCCGATGACTGGGCTGCCCCTGCCAAGCGTCTGGTTCTGGGCCGGGGCCGGGGGACGTGCTCTGTGACAAACATCTCAAGTGGTTCTCTCGTAGGTGGGCTCCCTTTGAAAAAGACCAAGCTGGTCTAAGGTCTCTGAGCAACGCTAATATGGGAAGTACACACACAAACACAACTAGACCTGGCGGACATCTAGAGAACACCCACTCAACAATGGCAGAGTGCGCACTCCTGTCGAGCACGTCGCACGCAGGCGCACACGGCCTATCTGCAACGAGGCACCGTGGTGGCGGATTCACGAGAGGAACCCAGTGGCTGGAGATGTCCCTGCCACCCCTTCGCCTTTTGAATTTGGACCATGCGACAGCGTTAGCTATTAAAAAAAAAAAATACAGTTTTCTAAAGGTGACAAATCTCTCTATACCTATTTCCCAGCTTCAGTGGCCATGACCACTTTCTATCCCAAACACCTTCCTTTTTGGTCAAGTGCGGAGTTAAAAGAAATAAAAGGTCTGGATGCTGACTGCCCAGCTGCGTTCCTTCTGTGAAAATCCACCGAGCTCTGCACGTATTCATGATCTGTACGCTTTCCCACAGGGATGAAGCACTTCAATAGAAAGTTAAAAATAAAATGACTATGACTTAGGTCAATTTTCTCCTCGTCCCCCGAGGTTCTCAGAGGTACGACGGCGACCCTGGGTGACAGGGGCCCGGGCCACTGCATCCTCCCCGGCAGGCCCTTCAGTGGAGCGGCCTCAAGGCCCAGTCCCACTGCTATGGCGTCTGCACTGCGGGAGCTCTCAGTGAGCCGTGAGAAGCATCCCTGAAAACCGCCTTACGGTTTACACTATGGCACCCGCAGGTTTTTCATTATGAAAACGAAGCATTAACGCCGCTTCGAGAAAACCCCGAGGTCATAAAAGGCAGAGGAAGAGGCTGGGCAACCCGGAGACGCTCAAGAGCTGCAACAACCCAATGCAGTAGCGGAGCCTCGGCCGGATCCTCTCTGGGAAGAGGAGAAGCTGTTTCACGGGGGCCTTACTGGGTCGACAGACAAATCACAGTGTAAACAGCGGGCTAAAGCATCCATGTTAAATTTCCTTAAGCAGAGGTTATATACAAGATTTCCCTGCTTTTAGTCAAAATCCATTGACACTATTTAAAGGAAAGAGCCACAAGGTAAGTCCCTCTTCAACGGTGGAGGGGGGCGGTGTGTCTCCCACGCGGGGCGGGGGCGGGCACTCAGGAACGCCGCCGACCGTACTGTGAATGGAGGAAAACCTTACCGGGGCAATCCGGGCGCCGGTGTATGGATGTTCTCCGGTCCACTCTTTGTTTTTCCTTTCGGGAACATTTCTGTGAACTTACAATTTTTCCAAATAAAAGTTCTTAACAACGACGCGTCACTAAATAACCACAAAAAAAGCGCATCAGAACCAGCGTAGAAAGGAATCTGGATTTTGATGATAACGGTGGCTCTTCACGAGCCATTTTAATTATGTAAGAGTAATCCCAAGGCATTATTGCAACCTGCAAAAACATTTAAAAAGTTACACCTTCTGGCTAGGTTTATGATAGAGCTAAATAAGCACCTCCCAAGACCCAAAGCTTAACATAATTGCCTTCTGTAGAAGACTCCACCTCATAATGTGAGTCTTAATGGAGGAAGTAGATTTCAGGAAGTTTAAATAAAAGTTCCTCATTCCTGTGAGAGGTTAGTCTTGCCTGCCTGGTATGCACAATGAAAAATCCTAATAATGACTTCAGTTAGAGGCACTTTAAGCCCTATTAGAAAAAGAAAAGACATCAACCATCTCCTAGAATGGTAGATATCCCGGACAGACAGAATGAAAATGATAATGACTGAGAATTGCAAGTGAAAGGCGAAACTTTAAACTTACAGAAAGACAGGAGAAAGTTCCTGCGGCCCAAGGAAGGGAAGGATTTCTCAACCGAGACACAAAAAACACAAGCTTCACAGGAAAAGGATGATGAATTAGACGACACCTCAAGTCGCAATCTGCGTATAACGAAAATGCCACATCTGAGGCGGGGAGCGAGTCCCGTTTTGGGGGAGAAGATCCTGCTCGGGAAGAGGGGGCGCCTGGCGTGAGCCCCCTGGAGAGCGAGCCCGGCATCCTGAGAAGCCTTGCTCCTGCCAGCAGGTCCTCAGAGGCCCGGGTGGCAGCAGAGACACCGCAGGACCCGACTGCCCGCACTCCGGTGGCCCCAGGGGTGGGGACGGGGCGCTGCCCAGGCAGGGCGGGGGGCTTCCAGCCCCACCAGAGCCCATACCGTAAGAAGGTCATTTCGCAGATGCATCAAGTCTCAGAGGCGGCTCCAAGTGTCCAGCCAGGATTACCAAACATGTGGGCGATTACATCACAGTGAGAGAACTCCTAACACTGGCTCCCGGCCCCTGGACAGTTTTCTAACTGTGTGTTGGCACTCACGCTGGGTCAAAGTTCGCAATAAACTCAAGAGGCGGGCTCTCCTGGTGCCTGTCCAGCCGCACGCAGGGTACAGCAGCATGCAACTCCGGGACACGCGGCTTCTGACGTTCCCTCTCAAAGCAGGCCGGTCCTCTGCAAACCCAGCAGGAAGGCCAGCTTCTCGGGGATCCAGGGCAGCAGAAAGCATTCCAAGATACACAGGCGTTACATATTTTAACCACAATGAAACATGTTAAGGTTATGCCGACTTCATTAAGGACGGGGGGGGGGGGGGGGGGGGGCGGGGGGAATGCGCAGGTACTTGCTGCTTGTGTTCAGCTTAAAATGTGTGCGGGACCGTGGCAGCGTTTCCTGCTGCCAATGTCTGTGACAACCGAGATCCCCCAGGTCCCGTGAGCCCTCCATCGCCTGTGTGGCGGAAGGGGGCGGGCACACAGACATTAGAGGGTGCCCTCGAATCACATTTGGGATTTAAAATGTATCTCTTATAATTAGAAACCATGTGAAGACTACTTCCCGTGTACTTGAAAATGTCCACTTCCCTAAAAGTTCAGAAGAAATAGAGTGATGAGGAGACATTTAAAAGCAAGTCTGGGGGGAAGACAAGTACAGGCAAGAATACTGCTTCCCGCAAGCACTTTGGAAAATGAACTCAGAAGAAAAGTTAACAACTTAACATCGGAAAGTATGTTTCTTTTTTTTTTGGACAAAAGGCCCAGCAATTCCCTTTGTCTCTCACAACTATCAGTAGTTTATCAACCTAAACACAACACAACCTAAATAATTCTTCCACTCTGACTCATCAGATCCCTGGGACCACAGACAAGAGGGGTATGTACATTTGCCAACAAAAACTGAAAGAAGGCAAAGCTAACTCCTATGCTCTAGAACTACTACAGAGAAAACACCTACAAGGACACTTCAAAAAATTCCATCTGCGTGTCAAGATAACTCAGTCATCGCCTACCCCTCATTCTGCAAGGAGCAACAACACTGCAGACTTCCAGATTCCAACAGGGCCAAGGTCCAAAATAGATGGGAAGCCCAACCAACCGCGAGTGGTTTTTTTTGTATCATCACTCATCTTACGAACTCAAAGCATGGAGGCTTCTAGGCCGTGTGGGTCGCCGTGACCAGAGGACAGCAGCCCAGCCTTTGGAAGGACGGGGCCCGGGGAGGCACTCCCCGCTGTTGCAATCCCATCTGCGGAATCAGCACACGCGCCTGCACGAATTTTCTGGATAATCGGGAAAATATCACAGCTGCAGCAAACCGTCTTTTCTGTGGGCCCCAAATGCCATCTATTTGTTTACTAAGGAGTCGGGACAAAAGTACAGGAGGTATGTCCTAAAAATCAAGAGAGATGGTTAACAAGGAGGAGTTCAAATTTAAAAAAAGAAAAAAGAAGTATGACGGTAAAAATGTAAAATAATGGAATGCCACACATAGTAAAGCCTAAACGAGGCTATGACCACTCGTTTCCCACGTTAGCTTCAGAATCATAACGGCGACAGATCTGTTTCCGTCCTTACCTCGTAAGACCAGACACACTGCACCCCCGCGAACCTGCGGACACATCGGCCCACCTCGACGTCCTCGTGGGTGGTGTACATCTCGCGGAGGCACTTCCCGATGTGCGGGACCATCCTGCGCAGCACCTCCCGGCTCATGATCACGCCGGGCCCCCCCATGCAGAAGTTCTCCCCGGGCTCCAGGGCCAGCTTCCCCATCTCCTCCGTGGTGCCCAGCCCCGTCTGCCCCAGGAAGAGGGGCTCACTGCTGTTCAGGCTCCTCAGGAAGTTCTCCAGACGGTCGCCTTTGATGTAAACATCGTCGTCCGCTCTCATAAACCATTCATACTTGTCCAAATAGTGGTCATGCATGTACTTGAGCATCATGAAAGACTTCTTCTGGGGCGGGTAGGAGTCGTCCACGCCCCGCAGTGGCACGATTGGGATCGGTATGGACGTATCGGAACCCTCGCTCGAGAAGAATTCGACTTTCCCGGGAATTGTCTTGGACCACGTTCTGGAATTGAAACAAAGAGCAGCGAGACAGCAGTTTAGGCCGAGCTCCTTATTTCCCAAAACCCGCACGTCGGCTCTTGGTGAATCACCGTGTGTTCAAAGGGATCTGATAAGGAGCTACTTGATCAGCCTGCTTCCCCTCGGCGGAAGCCCACGCTACTGGATATTCCAAAGTCCACATGCACTTTGAAAAGACTCCCAACCGAAAAGAAAGCTCGAGTGTTCCACTAGTATCAGGATAGCTAAGTTTCAGCTACGGCTGGGAACCACGTCGCCAGGCCCCCGAGGTCTGAAGGTTCAGGTTAATGTTCTGACACTAGTAACTCCCTAGCCGCACACTCCTCCGTGCTATAAAACGATAAAGCAAATCATTCGGTCAACACATTTTCTCTGAATGCTCACCACGCGCCAAGTATGCGCCAGGCCAGAGAGAGGGGGTGCGGCCCATGGAGCTGATGTGAGGACAGGCAGACATTCTTCAGAACAGTCTACACATACTACCGTCGCCGAAGACAAGGCTTCGAGAACGAAGGCTCACAGCGTGGAGAGCATAAACAAAGGGCACAGACAGACACACAGACCCAGAGCGCAGTGCAGGGCGGTGCCATGCGGCAGGGACAGAGGCCAACTGCGGGGCCTGCCAGACCCCCGGATGCAGGGGGAGGGGCTTTTGGCTTTTAAGCGAAAGGGCAGCGAAGGACTCTGTGTCTGAACCCACAGGGCAGGGCTGCAGGCAGGAGGACAGCCAGGAGCCCGGACAAGAAGTTCAGGGGGCACGGCCCACCCCGCGAACAGCGGAAAAGCTGGTGATCAGTGAGGAGGACAGAGTCCCGCCGCTGCGCAGTGGACTGAAGGCCGTCGAGCTCTGCACTTCCTTTACGCTGCGGATTAAGAGCTGAAGGAGTCCGGCTATAAAAATGCATTTGTAGAGATGACTTCTAGGAAAAACATCTCACAGAGCATGAGTCAATTAGTAAATTTAGCCTCCATGAGATCAAAAAAAGCACAGCTCCCAGCCAATGTCCTTCCCCATATATTTCCATCTTCCTTAACTCTTACGATTGGATTTATAATTACAGTGACAAGTGGCTTGTCGGATCAAGACCACACAGGTGTCTCTGGTGGAAAGTCTGAGAAGAGACTATCTGAAAAGATACACCCACTCTCTGGGGAATAGGTACGAAGTGGGGGGTGGGGGGAGGGGACTTTCACTTTTTATTCTATCTCTATAGTGAGTACAACTGTTATAAGCTTATTACTTTTGTGGGAAAAAAATTCAGTTGTGATAAAATATACAAAACTTGAAAGTTTGCCGTTTTAACCATTTTTTAAGCATAAAGTTCCCTGGCATTAAGCACATTCACATTATTCTGCAACCATTACCCTCATCCATTCTCCCGAAGTGTCTTCATCTTGCACAACTCAGCTTCTCTAAAGCGTACACATTACTTTTGCAGTTTTTAATATAACCTACAATAAAGGAAAATGTTACTGGCTTTTCATTCTCTTCCTAACCCCAAGTATTCAAAGAATATAAAATGACTTCATACTCATCGCATTCAAGCAGAGGAAAAAACATCAATAGGACTGAACTTTTTGTTAAACATGCATCTCGGAATGTCCAAAGATTAAATATATATCACTTTTTCATCAAATCTAGGATGCCTATTGTAAGACGCACCACTGTTTTATATACCAGTAACAACTGCCAATCACAACGACACGGTAACAGCATCTGAACCAGGCATCCTCAGCTCAGGGACGTTAATATGTGTGGGGGGGGGGCCGGGAGTGTACCCCAGAATGGATGTAATACAGTAGTTGTCACGTTTTCCCTCGGTGCCTATGAGTTTTAAATGTAGCCTTAGGTCACTTGTGGAACATTTTAGCAAAGAATCCGGCACACATGGAGCCCAGTGGGACTACAGATGCTCCGGTATCTGCATTTTCACAAACAACATGCCCCTGAAAAATAAAAAAAGGATGTGAAATCAACAGAGCAGGGTGGGCAATGAATTTAAAGAGAAACCAGCCCTCCCACAGAGAGACAAGTCCCTTTAAAAATGAGAATGAGTCCTTCAAAGCAGCCAGAGGTGCCCTTGGATACGGGTTCACTAGTCACTTGACCCAGAAGCTCCCACAAGATCATGCAAATCAAGAGGTTCAAGTCTCTGTGTTCACGTGAAGAACACTGGTGCAAGTGCCCCGGCCATCGAGGGTATGCATGTCCCAAAGCCACCAAGGCCTGAAGGATGTCCCCTGACCGAAGCAACATGTGCCCTTCTGTTGTTGTGGGGGGTTGGCAGGCGCGGCCGGGCCAAACCCTGGGGCTGGACGCAGGGTCGGTGGCCCAGAAAGGGTGCTGAGTTTTTGCTGCACGTGCTTAGAAATGCAGAGAGTGATGCTGAATCTAAGGGCTGGATGTAGGTTCTCTGGTCACGGAGCCCGTCCAGGTGGACAAAGCTCCCAAGATGAGGCGCAGAACTTCCAGAGCTTGCGGGCCGGGCTGACTCGGGCTAACTCGCCCCCATGTGAGCTCTCCTGCCCCACCCGCCCCACCAGGGGATCCCACTGAGAAAAAGCAGCTTGCTCCTGGCCCAGACGAAAAAGATGTCCCAGGAAAAAAACTGAAGAAACAAAAACTGATGGCCGGGACGTAAGTCCGGCATCAAATGAATATTAATAAAAGTAAAAGCAGGAAAAAAAAAATGAGAATGAACCATAGCCTACCTAGAAAGTCTAAGAAACTACGCACACTCTTCTGATGTAGTCACATCTGGAGGGGAAGCAACTTCCTTGCCTCAGGAAGTCGGAGAAGACAGGAAGGGATGAGAGGACCTCTATCCATGTCAAGGAGCCGCCCCGGCTCCTCCCTTTATGTAGAAATGGTTTTTTTTTGCCAGTCACACCAATTCTCGGAAAACATAAATAATTTCGGTGCTTGGCATGTAAAAGAGGTCGGTGAATACTGTCCACTCATGTGATATGCGCCCACACACAAAACGGCAGACCACTCTGTCTCTACCTTTGAGAAATTTCCAGGTGAGCTTCTCGGCACTTTCCCTAGACTGCACTAACTTTTCCTGCCATTCCCACATGAAGAAATAAATCCACTTAATCAAACCACAGGCAGAAAACAATTAGGTAACATTCGCAGGCACACAGGACTTGAAATACAATACCATTCACGAAATACAGTTTAATGACAGACAGTCCGCATGATCTTACAATGGACTTGAAAAGGATAGTCAGCAAAATCAACTTAACTTTAGTTTCTACCCAATTGCTTCTGAACTAAAATGTGATTTATAAGACGGACCAAGTTCAAAGTAGTACTAAAGCAGCCGACCCCAAAAGCCATTGAAATACTAAAGGCCCATGACATTATCTGGGTCCTGGGATAGGTAAGGCAATGCTGGCCCTCAAAGGAACAATGTGCTCCACAGACAGTAACGCTCGGTGTGACAGTTCAGAGCAAGAGTTTGGAGTCGGGCTGTTGGGGTGAGGACCCTGGCCCCACTTTGGGCAAGGTACCCCGTGCTCCCTGTCCTTCGCTGTAAACTGGGGACAGTAAGAGTCCCTGCTTCATAGGGCCGCGAGGGTGAAATGCTGGGAAGTCAGCATGCAGCCAGCCTTACAGAGGTGTGATTCATTAGCAAAGGCAGGAGCCTGCAAACAAAAGAAGGGAGTGAAATAAAATATGAGGGAGACGGGCAAGGGTGGGCTGGCCGCGGACCGGTCAGTGTCCAGCGAAGGTATAAGGAAAACGCCTCTTCTCACATTTCTGCCTAAAAACCCGACCCTCGGGCTATGTAGAATTGTTTTACTCTCCATCTCTCATAATGTCAGGGGCAGTCTAATGCCAGGCTCCTTCATATTAGAGGGTCAAAATTCATGTGGGTCTGGCCTGGCTTCCTTCTGCGTGCCCCCCTCCCCCCAAGATGGAGGACAGCGACAGGGGCACAGTGAGGGACTAACCTATGACTTGACATGATGTCACTGTCCAAGAAGGGAAACCAATTAATTTCAAAAGCAAGACGATGTGACCTCAAACCATCCTTAAAAACCTCTCTGCAGTTTTTATGGTGAACTCCACCCAATTTTCTTTTCCTTTTTAGGGAACCCAGGGTTCTGTTCGTAAATGACTGGTGGTTTCAGGGGAAGCTCTTAATGTGAAGTTTCTGTAAATCCTCCCCATCTTAAGAAATTACGATCTCTTCACGGAGGATACCTGCCGTTCAAGGCAGCTCCACACGGAGTGCTCTGAACGTAAATCATGACTCGGCATCCTGGGGGAAGAAGGGCCGTGGGTTAATAATGGGGAAGAAATGAAGGAAATGCGTAGGCCCTCCTGGGACAGAAGCAGGCCAGTCCCTTCATTTTCATAAGCAAATGTCAACCTTGTCATCGCGCGTTGGTTACCGGGAGCAAAGTGCTCTTGCTTAATTGAAACCACAGAAGGCTTCTTGCAAAGGCGCTTGCCAGAAAGCTCGATTTCCAGCAGCCTGATAATCAGCTCTTGCTAGAGCACAGATAAGACAACTGAAATTGGAGAGCGCCAAGCGATCTTCCATGCCGCCAGGCTTCTAAATACTCTCCTGATACCGAGTTAAATCGCAGTTCAGCAGTGCAGCTGGACGTTAGCGTGGCCAAGGAATGCTTTTGCTGAGTAAGCACCTAACAACCGCGTCCATTTCTGCTCAGTGTCATTTTAAGAAAAGCTGCATCAAATGCATTTCTGTACCAAACTGGATCTATGGCATGGTTACCGTCCTGGGTATACAATTCTTCAAGGACGGGTAAGTGTAGGAAGCAGACAGAAGCACAGATTTGTGATGTGGGTTGTTAAGGGAATAACCCACAAAAGGACACAGACAAAATGAAGTGATGTACTGAATACAATTCTACCCTGAAGTGTTCACTCTGGTTACTTTTGGATGAAGGATGGGAAAGGATTTCATTTCCTTCCTTGTGTTTTCTACATTTTCTAAATTTTCTACA